ATTTAATTAAAATTGAACACGAAGATGAACGAGTTATGTGGTTTAATTAATGAGAAGAAGACTTGGCTTTGCTTTTATCTACTTAATGAAATGTTCGTCGATCCCGGTTATATCTTTAACTATCTTCCTCTCGAATACTCAATCGAGGAGTATATCCAGTTCATCGAGGGTAGTTATTAATAACGACAAGCGTTCATTAATAAAACTTACTATCGAGTCAATATAGAACAAGCGTCGTATATTAACTTGATAGTAGCAATAAACTTAAGATGAAAACGATTGAGATTGATAACCTCAACACAAGCGGTTTATTGGTTTAATCAATATAATTAATTCCCCTTAGATTATTAACCATGAGATGCATGCATTAATAATCCAAGTTTACTACCATGAAAGGACCGAATTAATAACAAGCGTATTAATCGACCGATTCTAGTATTAATTAATATATGAAACAAAACTAGTTGATCCTTTAAGTAATGTTCAAAATATTAATATGAAATATGAATAGGAGTTAATTAATACTCAAGAAAGAATATTAAAGAAGATGAATCCTACTGTAGTTAATATCAAGATGTTAACTAATTGTCATCTTAGTAACACTCCCCAATATTAACGTAGAGGAAGAAATAATTATTACTATAACTAATGTCAAGATGTTAACTAATTGTCATCTTAGTAACACTCCCCAACATTGATATAGAAATAGTATTTAAAGGAAGAATTAATATTCAAGGAAGAAGATTAAAGAGAATAACTCACAACTTACAAATTCATTAAGCTTCAAAGTAGCAAAACCAAGATGGAAGAGTTTAGCTCCTCATTTGGAGACTAAACATGCTATAAAAATATAAAAGAAATACTATTCTAAACTGAGCTTAAGAGTATGGAAGAAGGGATGATTAAAAGTGAAGGAAAATGGGGTTATTTATAGGTGTTTTCAACACCTAATTCCGGATACCCGGCCGGGTATTTTGACATACCCGACCGGGTATTTACCAAATCAAATATTTTCCCATGTTTTTGTGTCTTCTGCACGTTCTTTGGTCCGAAATCACTTCATACCCGACCGGGTATATGGAATACCCGACCGGGTATTTGCTAGTTTTGCAGCAGTTTCCTTTGTCACTTCATACCCGGCCGGGTAAAGTCCATACCCGACCGGGTTTTGCATAAAACTCAGGTTTTTTCCATCCCTCTTGCTTCCAAACCTATCCTAAACTTATAGCTCAACTAACTATAACTTACAACAAACAATAAAATACTAAAAATACGATTACAATCAAATGCAAACTAACAACTACAAACTTGCATAATACTAGTAAATAAATATTACAAATGATAATAAAAATGTACACTTAGGCACTAACAACTAGTGCCTATCAGGTGGCATAAATCCCAAAGGCACTAACCTTGAAACAAGAAGAAGACAGTCTCAGGCCTTGGCATTTGATTCCATAAAAAACCAATCCAGTGGTACAGGCGGTACCTATCCCAGCTTCGGTCAGCGCCTCAGGAGTAAGGCACTTCATGATGTGAAGGAAGCCATCACGCTCCACTACCTTGATTTCTTCCCCCAACTCCTCGGTATCACGTGGCTCATTGACCTTCCGAGGGTATCTATCCCATCATGTCGGTAGCTAACCGTCGGGGACCCGGACGAAAAGGAACCAGTGTTTCCACCCATTAATGGAGGAAGGGGCCCTTTGGAAGAGCTTTTATAGTGAGAGTAATAGTGGTAGTAGGGTATATACACATATATACTTCTTATATTTCAAAATGATTTTCAAAAAATAAAAACTTTTCTTAATCAACATACATCCTTTTAATTTTAATTTTGAATGTCAATTTTTGAATTTTCTGATTTCATTATTATGATTTAAAAGACTATGTCTATTTTTTTATCGTAAAAACGGATGGCTTAAATTACTAGCACTTCATTCAGATAGGGGGTAAAACGACAAAAGGACCACAGACAACCGCTAACCCTCGAACTAGACTTAGAGTCAATCACCTCTAAAAAAGCAATATAACTCATTGATCCTATAGTGGGCATAAATGAGCCAACGACGATTAAAGCAGACCTCCCATCACCCAATCATAATGCAAAGTCTTACAACAATAAAAGTAATCAGCAGAAAAATAAACAGACTGATCATGAAAAATAAAAAGCAAGCAAACAGTAAAATTAAAATACTGCTTCCAAACCCTAAACTCTCCTGCACTCCATGGCAGCGGTTCAGGAGGGGGACGGTCCAAGAATACTATAGCTTCTTCCGCTCCTTGCCTCCAGTCTAAATCTGTTCCAGTCCCTAGCCTCACGCTTCTTTCATGACCTTCTGATTTCAACCATGAACGACATCTTCGAAACTCTCCACCTGTTGCTAGGGGTACACAACTTTTATCTGCCATATAGGCGCTGCAGTCTGCGAAGAAGAGAGACTCATGAAAGACGGACGAAAGCCGCACAAGAAAACCGCACTGATTGAGATAGAGAGATGGCCGCCTAGAGAGAGAGAAGCTCTCAATAGAGAGACGTTCGCAAATACTGACTTAGTCTATTTTTTAGAAAATACATTTTATTTACAATCACCGATTGAGATACGAAAAATTCCTGAAATATGAGTTAAAACATTATCCGGAAATTACAAAATAGGGGTGTTGATTTACTGAAAATTTAAGTAAGAGGACGTCATTGTCATCATGAAAATTTATGTCATTGTCATCCTGAAAATTTACTCGCATGTTTTGTCATTATAATACTTTAAACAAAATCCCCTCCGTCCCAAATTGAGTTATAAATTTGACTTTTTTTGTCAAACAAATTCATTTTATTCATTTAATTACAATACCAATTTTTAATTGAATTTTAATTTGGATTTTGTAACTTTATAGAGATTTTAATGCAGTTTATGAATTTGTAAATTTTAAATATTGAAATTGAATTATTTATGAATAGGGACGAGAAGCCTGGTCTGCAAGTCTTGGCTCAGTTAAGCCCAAAGCAGGATCAACGGATTATATTGCTTCTACGGATTAATTCTAAGTCTGGTTCTAGGGAGGACGGCAGATAGAAGACTTATTGTCATTTTGTAATATGCTTACGTTCTCTTATGATAATTAAGCCAATTTCGTTCAAAAAAATATCAATAGGGACGATTTAACTTTAATATTGGTTGGCTAAAAATTGTTGACTTTGCAAAACAAATTGGGACAGGGTAGCTTAGTATGTACTGTGGATGTTTTTACGTGGACTGTTTTCGGACCCAGACCAAACTAGATCAGATCAGACCAGACTTGGATAGTTATAAAATACTGAGACCAGACATTTACCAAATCAGGTCGAACTAGTTCAGACTAGATTATACCAGATCATACTAGACTAGATTATTCTGCTAGTCCAAGTAAAAACATCCTATCAACAGTCATCACGCGCGACTGCGCGAGCAAAGTGGTCTATGGGTGGTTACTCTTAAATTCTTACAGGAAAAGAAAGGTAGAACAGATACTGCAGTTTGATTCCCTGCTGCCAGTGTCATGGGTGGCTACTCTTAAATTTAATTTCGCGGGCTATGACTTTAATAAAAATATGCCCTCTCTCTATGTCACTGTGTGTCTACGTTGTATGTATTTATGTATGAGAGAAAAGAGGGGATGGAAGTCATAAAAATGGAGAGATTCTCCGGCCCGGCCCTAAAGCTCATTTATGATCGAATTACGATATGGCATGGCCTTGCTGCATGCTTGTTAAATATAATTACTCGCAGCTAGCTAGCTAGAGCTAGGACATCACACTATTATTTCCATGGGCATGTGATGAATCGGCAAGTAACACAAGAGAGGTGAATTGTGTGTGAGAAATCGTGACAGTTTTTCGTCAAATTCTACTGTGGGATAAAGGGTGAAATATACGTAGTAATAAATAAGTACGCAAGGTTTCCATCTCCGGTGGTTGGAGAGAGAGTAGCGGTCATGCTTCGGAGAAGATAATTTGCCGAACATAAGGAGAGACCGAGAGATATTAGTCGAGGTTATATTCAAGTTTAGACAATTTTGAAATAAAAATGTTAAAAGTGAAAAGGAGAAAGGTTAGAGATGAAAGAAAAAAGACGGTGAGTCATAAATGAAATACAGGGAGTAAAAGTGGCTCATATGGGTAATTTCCACAATTTCTAATTTTCTATTTTCTAAGCCTTTGCGCAATGGCGACTTACCCCATTAGCCGGTTAGCCCATTAGCTTTAGCCCTTCTACCGAGTTGTTATGTGCCTCTACCAAAGTACCAATTCAGATTTCGGACTTGAGCCTTTCCCCTCTCTCACGCACGTCTATGGAGTTCAGACTTCAGAAATTAGAGACGACGACGGACGACCATCATGCATGGAGCCATGGAGGAAGTGATAACCTAATCCCTGGTCGGCCGACCCCATTTCTGGTTCAGCAACTACAGCACTTCTCTGGTTTCCAATAGAGTTTCTCCACGTCGGACTGAGAGCGAAGGTAAGGGGGAGAACATCTTCTTTCACCTTATCCTTCATGGCCGGGGTCTTGTTTCTTTCTTGCACACATCTCACTCTATAGAGTTAGAAATAGAATCTCATGTACATTAGTTGCTTCATATTTATTCGTTTGGTAAATTGTCAAAATGGTCTAGTAAATTTCAGCATCACTTTGCTTGTGAATAAGATCTCCGAAAATTAGAGCTGGTCATTCGACTCTAATACATTTTTACACATTTGCTAAATTTTGGATTCATCTTTCACTTGTACTATTATCTTAATTGTCAACAACAATCCAAGAACCGAAAAACCCGAACCGGACCGACCCGTTTCAAACAGGTCGGGTAAGGCCCGATTCCTATTTTTAAAATTGCAATAGCCAAACCGGACCAATCTGTACAATGGAACTGCCGGTTCCATTTTATTTTGCATTACCCGCCCCGGCCCGTGCCCACCCCTAATTTAGTCTATTGTATTCATATCAAATAAGTAACAAGAAAAGGGGGAATTTCCTTACCATGCATTTTGAAACATGGAATGATAGTCGTGAAAAAGTATGTGATAAAGCATCACTGGTACACCGCATCAAGCCAATCGCAGTTAATTACCAGAATACATGTTTTTTTATAAATAAAGCTTGTTCAATGTAATCGGTTATGCGAGTAATATAAGCATGCTAGGCTTTTCTCTAGCATTCCAATATTCCATAGCCATATATAAGGAATAATATACAATGAACATGTGAGTTAAAGCAATCAATTTAGCTATTTAATTTGAAAAGTTGGGAACTCCCAGAGATAGCAACTGGCGGCAAGATCAGGGACCTTCCTTATTCATGAGAAGTCCTCCATTGAGTCTTTGACAATAACATAATACGCCCTACATAGTTAAGTATGATATTAAGTTGTATAAAATCACAAGCAAAATCAATTCACCAGAATAAAGTATAGCCATTTGCAATTGGACAAGGCAAATAGCAAATATCTCAACTCAGCACCATGTCATGATAGTTTGCATGCATGTGGAATTAACCTGTTAATTCATTTTCTTGATGAAGGTTTGAGAATATAATTTCCATCTCATTACTCTTGATGAAGGTTGCGACATAAAACATTCAGGGCCACAATGCTTTTATCCATGAATCTATGATGTTAATTAATTTTATACCACTAACTTGCACCATAAATTATTTTCATTTCCAATGGAGCCAAAGACTCACTATTTTTTGGATTGAGAATAAGATGGAATAAAACAAAATAGCTCACTAAACTGTCTGCGCTTCTTTTATCGACGCGATTTTCATCACGGGTCATTCGGAACAAGTCTTTATGTGTTTAGTATAGGGATAACTTAGATAATGTTGTTGTAACTGGCACCAGAAATTAATGCCGCCAACCCCAACTAGTTGGGACTAAGGAACTGATATTATGCATTATGATGATAGGGTTACACAGAACAAAAGGGATAAGGGTTTGAAACAAAATCCATTGCCTTTCCTACTAATCTGAGAAAAGTTTGAAGGAAGAGATTACCTATTGGCCAGCCAATGTAATGAAAGACAATAAACATCAAGTGTAGAAATGGAACGATCTAAGGAGTCATTCAATATTACGTTTTTCCCTTGCAAGCCCTTGGATGTTGCTAATAGAGTGCAAGCCGTTGTTGCGGCAAGAAGCAGTGATATAAAGCTTCCCAAGATGTGCCAATCCATCTTACCAAAAGTTTGATAAACTAATCAGTTAGCAAGATTTTCATCACATTGATGAAATCCATACAGTTATACACACAGTCACACAAACTCTCTCTCTCAGTCACACACACAAATATGCACTTTCAGAAAATATCAGCTTCAAAACTTCAAATACAAATTTACTCTATTAAAATGGCTTTTTTAAAAGGGTAATGCTAAACAACTACTCTTTCTATGTACTTGAAAGCCATAAGTACATCAACAACGTCCAAGCCTTAGTCTCAAACAGTCAAAAGAGATTGAGGCAGGCATCTGAAAGTATTCACAGAAAGGATAGGATAGCGCAGCATGTAAAGTATTCACAAATTTAGAAAACGAACAGACAGGGAGACAAAAGAGTAACAATACCTTCTTCATATTTACTTTTGCAACTAGGCGCATAATTCTCACCATTGAAGAACTCTCTTATATCATCCAAATCACCGCCATCCACAGCTTGTCTAGGGTTCCTCGGCTCTACTCTGGTATTGGAGACACTTGAAACTGAGCACTCATCGCCACTTTTCTCACAATTTCCTTCCTCTTCTGCTCCAGGAAACACGGGATTATCGAGTACAATTGGTCTCAGCCCAATCCTCCTCTTCTCTACGCGGCTCCCGAATTCCAATTCCCTCGCCAGCCTCCTCTTTTCCTTCTTCGTAATATTGATTTCCTTTTGAACATCAGCCCAGTCCTCCGGAATGAGATTCTCGGGCTCCACTTTGCCCGAATTGCTCCTCTGTCTAGAGACATCGCGTTTTCTTATGGGTTCAACCATTTTCGGATGCAAAAAGGGATCGTCGAAAACACCTTCTTCGAAGACCACACAATCTCCGATGACTGTTTCTTCCTCGTCTTTTACCCGGGCCGAGGGGTGGCATACGTTGTGGAGCGAAGAATATGGAGGCGAGAGGAATATAGATCTCTTTCTGGTGAATGATAGCGGTATGCATTGGAATTGCGGTGGAGAAAACTTCTTAATATATAGAGATGAAGATAAGGGATAGTATACTGTCGTGGTTTGCAGGTTTAGCACAGCCGCCATTGTTACTGGTCTGGAATATAGATGATGGTTGCGGTAGAGCAAGGTGTACACAAAAATGGTATGTCCTTGCGTACAAGTTGTCTGTCCGGCATTAGTTGTATGTCCATAGACAACTCAATTTCGGACAGACAACTTGTAGCGACAAACAAGTACGGAGTATAACTTTCTTGCACACCAATCTTTTTTCCCTAGAAATCATTTAGCACACCCGCCATGGTTCCTAACATCATTGTTAAATTATTTTATAATAAACTGGTATCAATTCCATTATGCAAATCTAATTTGATATTATACTTTTAAAATATGCATTTGTATGAAAATTATAATTTATACTAGTTGAGCATCAAGACACTTTCATTGATTATCAGGATATTTACATTGAGCATTACAACTCTGCAATCAGGGGCGTAGCCAGGATCGATGTTTACCCTGGGCCGACTATACACTAAAAACAGTATATAAAATTTTTAAAAGCGACAATAGTGTGAACATAATGATTAAAACCCATTAAAATTCATAGTAATACTTTTAAACAATTAACTTGAAAACGACGTATCCTATCTTTGTAAACTCGGCCTTTGTAAAAGTTGAATTTCGGTTGATAAGGTCCAAGCATCAATTAAGATCGTCTAATTTCATCTATTTTCTCTAAAGGCCAATCACTTATCGTTTTGCGTTTTCCCGGATCCCGCTCAATTTCAAGTGCATTATAAACTATTCTCTTTGAACAGATGAGATATTAGGAGTTTCAATTGAGACATTTAACTCTTTTCTACTTTGAGTCCTTGTACTAGGCTTATAAAACGAACGCAATGTGATTTTTGCCTTTTTGGAAGTAGATTGAGTAGCCATACCTACTAATCTTAGCAAAAAATAAAAAACTAATCAATATTTTATTTGAATACATTATTCAATATAGTTCATATTAATTTTTATTTTTTGAATAAATTCATATTACTCCGTAATATTTTAAGAAATTCACAATCCATTTGACATTCCTAAATCCTAATTTTTCATTTTACAATCCAAAGCACCCTAATATTGATAGTCAATATAGTCATTTGACTATCACAAACTAAAATAACAAATAAAATACTTAAATTAAACTAAAAATGGTAAAACGAAGTAATTAAATTAACTATGTCCTATGCAATTTGATGGGTTTATTTCGCATCTTCCTTCAAATTTCATCTTAATGAGGGCAGGTTTATTAACGAGGGCAGATTTATTCCATCTTCCTTCAAATATCATCTTAATAAGGGCAGGTTTATTAACGAGGGCAGATTTATTCCATCTTCCTTCAAATTTCATCTAAGTATTTGTCAAAAATTTGAAGAAATAAACTAAAAATTGTAAACAAAAAGTGAAATAGTTTAATTAGTTCTTCCTTACCTCGAGGGAACTGGAGTCTGTTCGTCTGGAGAAGCAGGTCAGCGGTCAAAGGAACGAAGCTGCGCAGGGCGAGCGGCGGAGCGGAGGAGAGGCGGCGTCCGTCGTCCGGCGAATAGGCGCTGCCGTCAATGCGAGTGGACGGAGTGGTATGCTGCACGGCGATGGCTTTGATTCTGCGCTTCTTTCCTTCAGCGCTGCACCGGAAGATTAATTTGCATTGGGCCATACACTGGGCCGGTATTTTCTTTGCTCTGGGCCATTTCTAATTTTTTTCTAAGAATTCATATATAATACAAAAAGAAAAAAAAACTGCCCTGGGCCATGGCCCAGCCAGGCCACCCCCTCCCTCCGCCCCCTGTCTGCAATCAAGTATAAATTTTTAAAACAATTGAGCATCAAAACATGTTCATTGAGTATCACGTTTTCTACTATTAAAAATTGAGACTATGTGATCAAACATCTTCATTAATCATTGGAACTCTTCATTGAATATCAAACCACCCTCATTGAATATCATGTTTTCTACTATGATTAAAATGTTAAATCGATGCTCATGTAGTATTTGGTGTTGTGCTCGTTTTGAAACATTATAACAATTCAAATTTCCTAACAAGCATTATACTAATGTGGTATAACATAAAACTTATTTGAATAACTTATACATGGAAATCAACAAAACAGATTTAGGTTATTTACCCAACTATTTGTAGTTTTGCAAGGACATATATATTAAAAAGGCTAAAGGGTCAAATAGGCCCCTGAACTGACTTTAAGTGTTCAATTAGCTCCTTATATAGGAGGTTCTACCCGGCCGTCGCCAATTGGGGCGGTTCCCGGTGGAATTTTTTGATGAAATTTTTTGAGCATCTTCTTCATTAAGTCTAGTTTACTCATACCAAATTTCAGCTAAAAATTCAACCGGGAAGGCAGTCAAATGATTTTTTGAAGATAACTGCGAAGTTAAACAGCACAATACATTTCGAAAAATCATTTGACTGTCTTCCCGGTTGAATTTTTAGCTGAAATTTGGTATGAGTAAACTAGACTTAATGAAGAAGATGCTCAAAAAATTTCATCAAAAAATTATACCCAGAACCGCCCCAATTGGCGACGGCTGGATAGAACCTCCTATATAAGAGGCTAATTGAACACTTTAAGTCAGTTCAGGGGCCTATTTGAACCTTTAGCCTATTAAAAATAATACTCCGTATGTAATTATATTAATTTGATCGTGTTCATTTTAGCTTGTTACACCCATGCAAATTTCTTCTGAACAGTATAGTATCTTGATAATAAGTCTATATCCATTTGAATTCTTTTTTGTGTTCATTCAATTCGTAATATCACATCAATGTACAATTCTTTTAAAGTTAATACTCATTTAAAGTATAACATAAAAATCATGTCTATTAATCATACACCTAATATATTTGTTACGGAGTATAGATTAACTTATTCATTTAAGTATATTCATTATTGTATGTTTATCTAGAATATTTGTTGTTCGGATTTTACAATACCATACTAATGCTCATGAGTCCAAGTGTAGGTTAGTAAATTGTACAGTTGAGTTTTATGAAATTTTATGAGTATGTTTTTCATAAAGTGTACGTGAATTGTGAAGTTAATTATATACAACGTATTGGTCGCCGAGTCACTTACGGGAGGTATCGGGTTTAAAATTCCATAGAGGGAATTTCATCTCGGTTTACCCCGGCCCCCTACTCCTGATCCCCTTGGAAGAAAAAAGGGCCAGATCGCGTAGGGGTGGGTTGGAGAAACCGAAAACAGAATCAACAAAACCCGAACCGCAACCAAAACAACCGAACCGCAAGAAAACCGAAACCGAACTCAAAAAACCGAACTGAACCGTGGTTGTTTGATTTCGGTTTTGGTTTTCACAACTCACAACCGAACCGAACCGAATAAACCGAACTTTTTAAAACTAGTTACTTTTATTTATTAAACATTAAGTATAACATTTTTTTAGCTCTTAATTCTTAATTCTAAAAAATTAATGTTTGATACTAGATTTCTTATGATTTAATTTGCAAGATGTTGACATTTTATATTTATGGCTTATTTAAGTGAAACACTTGTACATACACTTAAGTCTATTGCTATGATACTAACATGTTGATATTTTAAATCATAATTTACATTTTGCTTGTTGTTGCATGATAATGATATTTTGTTGATATATTATATGTTATGTACATATGTTTGTTATCTCATAGTTTTTTATTTTGAAGAAATATGTATTAATATAAACTATACTTTAAACAACATAGCAGAAAACATGAAACATTAGAGGACAAATATTTTTGCCTAAAAAGAAAGTATAATTAGTTATTTACTAATAAAATTTTAACTTGCGAATACACTATATATAATTCACAAATAAACTCGCAAATTTAATTAATTTAGAAAATGTTTAAATTGGTATATATGTACTCTGTAATTCATTGATTGGAAGTGCATTTTTTTCTTCAATCTTTTTTTAAATTATGTATGTTTTTGTATTGTACAACTATTAATACTAGTTTGAAATAGTTTATTTTTTTGTTTTTGTTTTCGAATTACTATCTAATCAACAATAATATTTTGGTAAAAAACCAAAAAAAAAACCGAAACTGAACCGAAATAAACCGAACCGAACAAACCGTGGTTCCAAAATTTTGAACATAAAACCGAACCGAACCTTTTACTTTGATTCGACATTTGGTTTTAGGTGAAAACCAAACCGTTTGAACCGAACTCACCCCTAAGATCATGTACGATGTATATTTACGCTATTTGTATTGCATATTAACGTGTAAAGTGTTGCATATTTTTTTGCTATGAAATAAGTAGTTGTAAATTAACGTTCAAAGTGTTGTATTCTGGAAAAAAAATGGCTTTATTACCAAAACACCACCACGCACCTATAACCTTTAGATCAACTCATAGGATGCCAAAGATAAGTTTATATTTGATCCATTATATCTCTATATAAGTGTGTGCGCGCGCGCGTGTGTTATGCTCATTTATAATATCATGACTCTCTTTAACCTAATACCCATTTAAGTATAACGTAAAACTCATAAATGTAAAGTATGCATTATTCTAGCTACAAACGAATTTATTCATTACTGTATATGTTCACCTAAAACTTTTATTGTGTCATATTTTTTTGTGATACTAATGCTCATTTTTAAACGTTTTACTCATTTACATATAGAATAAAATTTACTTCTATAACCCACATATGTAATACTAGTATATTGATTATACACCACTGCACATTTATTTTAAATATTATATTCATTTTAGTATAACAAAAATTCATTTCAAATTTCAATAGTCCACACACTCAATATGCTCATTTTAAAACGTTATATCACGCACACTCACGGTAAGTTTTATACTCATGTGAATATAAAATAACCATTTCATGAACTAATCAATATAATATGTATTCTTTGAATAAAACTTTCATATAATAAGATTTATTTAGTCAATTTTAAGCTACTTTTCCAATGAGAATTACTAAGAAAAATAATTTATGATTATATCAATTTTATTGTGTTCATTTTATAATAATATTTTGTTAATGTACATTTCTTTTAAGCAATGTGCTTGTAATTAGTGTATACTCATTTGAATTTTGTATGCTCATTTATAATGCCATGCCAGTGCTCATTTCTATTAAGCTTAAACTCTTTCTTTTTTTGTACCCAATAAGTAAACCACCAAAATTGGTGGCCTGGGGTACCAGATTCTATTACAAAAAGAAAAGAAAAATACAAAAACGAGAGGGAGACTAGACCAAAACCTCTCGGAGAATGCATACCTTCAAAGAAAAAAAAGATCACCACAAAGTTAAAAGAAAATTGGGGGGCCAGACCTAACCCAATTGAAATGAGATAAATTAAAACCTAAGATGAGGAATTCCAAAGAAATCAGATAAATAGCTTCGCGAACTTGTACCGGTAATTGACCCACCTTGTAAATAATATTCCTATTTCCTCTTTTTAACTGTAACTAAATAATCTTCTCCTTTCTAAATCTTCTCATCATACCCTCAATTTTCAAAAATAATAAAATATTACACCTACCTTTTTTGGGTTTATCCTTCATTCCACCGCTCTTTTATTATCTTCTCATCACACACTCAATATTTTATATCCCCTATCACTATTCATAATTAGGGATGTCAAAAAAAACCGACCCGCAATGACCCGCCCTCGCTTGAGACATTTGGGGCGGGTTCACCTCGCCCAGTCTTGCAAATGGGGCGGATCCGCCCCGCCTATACAATGGGGCGGGTCCGCCCCGCCTATACAATGGGGCGGGTCCGGGTATTAGAATTGTTCCGTGCCGCCTCGACCCGACCCGCTCAATATATAAGTATACATACTTTTTCTTGAATTATACTACAAATACACTTCAACATACATATGTATACAATAAATCATAAATGCTTTGATTTTATAGTATATTAATATATATTAGAATGAGATAAAAGACGGATTATCAATGTCTTCTTTATATATAGCATTTTAATACATATATTCAATGATTAATATAATTAAATAGATTAATTATTTCAAGTCTGAGTAATTTTTCCTTAATTTTTGAAAATTTTAGCGTATCGTGAATTTGATTTAATATATTAATTTTTAATTATTATTTAGAGATAAACTTTATGTAAATTCAATTGGTAACAATTTCCCACAAATAAAAATACATATTAGCTAATTAGGTTACGGCGGGGCGGGGCGGGGCGGTCCCCTCGCCAAAGCTATGTTCGAAGCTTCTATCAAAGCTCTTACCTGTGCAAGTGTGCAACTTCATAACAACTTGCCTGAAGCTTGAATCATACTCCGTACTGCCCATAGAAGCTCCCCTTGTCAGTTTCTGAATATTGCTCCGCCCGAAGATGTACTATGAGCAGGAAGCACCAACATTTAACTTATACGTAGTACTCCACTTTAGGTGTAGCTTATTCACTTAAGTATATTCATGAGTGTATGTTCATCTAAAATCTTTGTTGTTCTCATTTTATAATATCATACATATGCAGATATGCTCATTTCTTATATACTCAATATTTATGATAATTGTTAAATTCACATAAGTTTATATAGCTTCACTTGAACTCAATATTTACCTATACAGATTTTATGATAATTGAGTAAAATGTACTACTCAATATCATATTGTTGATTCAGGTTCGACGGCTATCAAGCAAGATAAAAGGGTATAAGTGCAACAACATTTTTTATGGGTATGGAAGATCTAGATGGAGTTTATGGGCTACTACAAATTGATGGGAAAAAGAAGGATTCATCCTCGAGGAGGACCTAGCGGCCGTTAGGGTTTTTACTCACGACGAAAAAGTTTTCAATTTTCAGCAACTCAAATAGTAATTAGTGTAAAACCAAGAGAGAGTGCAGTGCAGATAATAAGGAATATGAGGAGAAAGATTATACAACAGCTCGCCCTTTTTTGGAACCACCTTCGTGTGGGGCAGAGCTTGGGGAAAAAGAACTCTCTGGTACCTCAAGCTTGAAGATTTTATTTAGTAGTTCTCTTTACTATTTTTGCTATGCTTTTGGAGTATTTGATTCGAACATTTGGATAGTTTTCTTTGTGATAGCTAGTAGGAGACATGTGAGTTGTGAATTGGGTGATAGTTGTACTAATTCGATCAATGAAATCATGTTTGCCCACTTGGTGATTAGTGTGTATTTTGTCTGACCCTAGAACTCGTGATAGTGTTTGGAATAGTCGTATCAATACGTGTTCTCATATTTTCAGTTGAGCAGAACTTCATATTTTACAATCTGCACTGGTTTTACAATAAAAAATAGGACTAAACAATTGATTCCTACCAGAAATGCTCCTAAGGGTATTATTTCATAATGAAATGTTATAATTAATAATAAAAACTTAAAAATTAATAAAAAATCGTTAAAAAAAATTAAAAATCGTACAAAAATAATAAACAAATAAAAAAAAAATTAAAAAAATGGAACCTTTAAAAAAATAGTAAAAATCCATAAATAATAAAAACAAATATGGATACCTTTTCCACCGCCCCCCAGTATCACCACCTTCGATCGGTAAAAATTATGTCACTTTTTATTAAAAAAAAAAACCATTTTTTCTCAAAAATACTAAAAAAAAATGACATTATTACTCTTCATAAAGTCAAATTCTCATTGATTATGCCATCATTATGGCATTACTAAAATTGTTGGCAGATTTTATTTTTTTTATTAAACAAATTAATAAAAAGTAGTAAAAACCCATAAAAATTTTTAAAAAAAAAAATGGATACCTCCGATAGGTGAAAATTCCGCAATTTTTTGTAAAAAATGCCATTATTTTCTGAAAATGCCAAGAAAATGGCATGATTACTCATCATAATGTCAAAATTTTCATTGAATTTGCCATTATTATGGCATTACTAAAAATGTTGGCAGATTTTCAAAAGGTGATGGGAGCTGGCGATGTTGGGGGTGGCAGAGGCGACGGCGTTTTTTACTTCTTTTTTATGTTATTTTTTTAAAATATATATATATAGATATTTTATAAAAGTTTTTTAATATTTTTTGACGTGTTTTTATTATTTTTTAAGTTTATTATTTTTTTTATGATTTTATTACAGAGTATTAATTAAGACATTTGAAAAGCATCAAGGGTATATTTGTCCAAATACACATAAATAGTTCTACTAGGGGGGGTAAAAACATGTAGTCCTATTTGTGCTCTTCAGCCACTTTTTTGACCTATTTAGGGAATTAACACTTTTAATATAAGTCGCTTATCATATAAAAAAAAGTGTAAATGAGGTTGAATACATTAAGCTCATTTTTAGAAATCATGTTTTATTCCATCACCTAAATTTAATAATTATAAATACAGTCCAAATAAATTCATGTGTGCTACATACATTTTTACTTTTCAATTTTCAAGATGATTAGAATTATGAGATTTATTGTAAATAATGCTTCTAGGATTTGAAATGTAATCATATTTAAATTTGTGCATGTGCATTAAATGTGTTTTTTTATTTTATTTTGTGGGGCTTGAACTAGACATGTTATTTTTCCACTATATGATGATAATGACAATGATTTCATATTTTGTTTACAAAAAAAAAAAAATCAAAATTCTTTCATTCTATTAAGTGTTTAGTAAATTAAGTTTGAACTTGATGTTTGAAATGATCATAGATTCAAAAACTATTTATTTCTTGTGTTTTGAATTTTTGACGTTTTTGTATGATTGAAAGTAAACAGTGTTAATTTTTCGATGGTCAAAAATTTATTTTTAGGAATCGATAAAAGTAGGAATGGAAACATTTAGTATTAGTTCAGTTCCATAGAGATTCTTGAGTTTTTATATAGGAATCAGACAAGATTTATCAATAATATATATTTTTTATAACGATTTCACCAATTTCACATTATGTATAAGAACTGAAACGGTTTTAGACTTACGGAGTAATTCCAATAAAAACTTAGAAGTATGGGATATTGGGATCAACTTTGCTATGGACAGACAAGAAAAAGAAGAAACTGAAATTGTTCTTCAATCCCGTTGAGTTTGGATCCAGGAAGCAAAGGGAATGAGCTCGGTTGCTAAACACATAGCTCCATCATCGTCCTCATCGGTTTATTCATCTTTCATATCAAGAGAGCCAAAAATAATTCCGTCCAGACAGACAGTTGGGCAAGGACAGCCAAAGGAGACTCAATAAAAGATAGGTGTAGGGGACATAGCCAAATCCTGGAGCAGGGGAGTAGCTGGACTTTTTTCCATAGGTAGCCGAGAAGAGATAGGCTAGCTGAGTCATGGGTGGCTGAAGGGGGTTTACCTGTTAGACACGGTCCAGGTCACCTGGGATCATTTTGAGAAGCATACTCCTTCAACTCAAATAATTCTAGTTCTAGATTTATACATGTAGGAATTGATGTAATTATTTCCAAACATTTATGTGAACATTCAGTACTCCATATAAAATCAAACTGCAACTTTTCTCCCACATATTCCACAGTTTTACTTCACCTATGAATGCAAGACAACAACACTTGACGGGTATACAAGTTCTCGACAACAATAAACACAAATAACTTGATGCTTACACTGTTACACATCAAAATGTTAATGCTTTTTTTTAGAATATTCTTTTAAAAGTTTAAAGCATGACAGCGGGCATGAAGCTATGTAAGAGAAAACACGCATCAACATTCATGATCTTCAACAAATATTTAAGACAAACTCAGCTAGAAAGCCCTTGTGAATGGGTCCTTTCATAAGGTACACATAGAAACAGATCAAATCCATGAAGAGAGATCCTATCTTCCACCTCGAGCATAGTTCCTATCAAGACTGTGATGATAGGGAGAATATGACCTGGACCGATCCCTTCTTGACCTTCCCCCGTATGGTGAACGCCTAGGCGAATAATCCCTTCCACCTCGATATGGTGGTGAACGCCTAGGCGGTGAACGCCTTGGCGGTGACCTTCGATAGCTGTAGTCATTGTAGCCACGATACCTCCCACGTTCACCACCACGATAACCTACACCCAAACCAAATGCTATGGTAGACTTTTGACAATGATAAACCATTGGTAAAATTCCTACATGCATGTTTGTACACCATACGGTAAACTTTTGTTCACCTATGACTTCCACATTTGCATATCTGCATTTGATGTCACATTTGATTATGTTTTCCCATAGAGTCTTTGATATGATGGGAATGACCAAAAGAAGAAAAGATAAAATTGGGGGCCACAAAATGAAGGCCAGCGACCACAAGTGGAAATGAAATAATAGTCATAGGACAAAATATATAGGCCTAGGAGTCTTACCCTCACCCCTGGTGCTCTTGAGCCCAAGATAGTGCCCAGGTGTTGGAGTCCTTGGACGTTTCCTTCGGGACTGAAAACAATAATACATATATAAGAATTGGAAGTACGCATTTTAAGAAACAAAGCATAGATCTTCTATCTAATTTTTAATTACCATAAAATATCTACTTAAAAAAAATATCTGTGTCAAAGTTAAATAAAATGGAGAAGAGGTCAAAACTAATTATATTCTATATTAATACATTTAACAATATTACTAATGAACAAAGCATGATGTTCACACTGAAACAAGATTTATTATTAGAATTTAGCAACTAAAGTGCTAACTAGATTTTTACCAAAAAATAAATTAATATGAAAAACAAAACAATTCCAGGCATGAGATACCATAAAAGCCTCATTACAATGTTGCTAGACTGTTGATTAGTTGAGAGTTGAAACTATTTGCTGAAGTTGTAATAGTTGTTGGTTGGTCAATCAATATAGTTGCTATGTTTAGTTGATCAGAGATGCAATGTGAAACTGTTTTAGCTGGGCCCAAGCTGTGAGAATAAAATGTTGCAATGGAAGAACTGATCATCTTTCGTTTGCTGCCAAACAAAGCTGACACAATGCGTTCTAAATATCGTCAGAATACTTTCCACTCCGCAAGAAAAAACAAGTGGGTCGTTCTTCAGCAATCTGATTTACATGTACAAGTTCTTTTACCTTCTCTACAGTTATATATCGACCTTCGAGAACTGATTGATTGAGGTGTTTAACACAGCGATTCGCATCATCAGCACTATCCATTGTTACAAAAGCAAATCCTCGAGAGATCCGGGACCGTGGCTCCACAACTAGAAACACTGATTTCACCTGGTGGGTAGTAGAGGAAAGACATTAGAGTGAAAAAGGTAAAAACACAGAAAATAAGAATAAATGCCTAGAATTCAATATTAAGTTGAATTTTGCTACTCAAGTAAATAGTAATAAAAAGGGATTAGAGCTAAATGAAAAATCCTCTGGAGCTTGATAAATACTAGGGTAACAAAAAATCAGAGGCAAATACCGGAAAACTATTGAAGGAAATCAAATGTGGCAGAAAATTAACCATCGGTGTTGACTCAGTAAGTTATATTTGCCACTTATACAAACTCATTTTATGAGTTTATTTCTAATATATAAAGACTAAGAAATATAATAATATTTAAAGGATTTTAAAACATTGATCATATTTCATTTTTCTTTGCATTTCCAAATAAAACCAAACATTAAAAATGGGTTTTCTTGGTTTTTCTTTTTCTACTATTTATCAGGATCCACAAATTCCCTATGGAAAAGAATCAAGTAAAACAAAATCTCAGTAGATACTAGTTTATAGTGCATACCTTTCCCTCCTTGGAGAAATGTTCTTCAAGATCCCTGTCTGTAACTCTAGAAGATAAACCAGTAACATAGAGGGTGTCCCCAGGATTAGGAGGAGCATTCCTACACAGTTTAACGAGAAAGAATTAAGTCATTAAAGACGACCATTATGCGACTTTGGTGCCTTGAGTTATTATGCCTTGACACTGGTTGGAGAAAAAAAGGCAGAGTAAGACCACATTATTTGACCTGTCACGACTTCTAGACCGTCCCCTTTCCCTTGACCATGACCTAGAGCGAGACCTTGACCTTGATCTTGAGCGAGACCTTTCTCCCCATGGAGAAGGAGATCGTGAATACCTGCCAAATAAATAGCTCATAAAATCAATAGCATAAGATGACCATGAGTACACAAAAGTTAATAACGTGAGCTTCATATAATCAGTAGCTCATAAAACTAATCATTTGAACCGATTAAGTCAATCAAATGACCATGAATACATGAAAAGTCACCAAAAAGAGAACAATACAAAGACAATCTTTGATGACACTCACTCAATGCATAGAAGAAAAGTTATTTCTGAATATTAGTACACTGGGAATCTGGGACTGAACAAATTGTAGTTGATAAATAATCTGGATATCAATTATAAAACTCATAATAAACCTAATCAATATGAACGTCTTTTATTTTAATTGCCACTAACTTTAATGACCTAAAATGTAGAACCTAGTAATTATAAGCATACAAGAAAAAACATTCTGAAGATGTGTAATCTGGGCTGAGAAAGAATTCCCTTTGATAAATGATCTCCATATCAATTAAAAAACTGCCAGTGAACCAAGTCAAAATGACTACACCTTTTATTTCAATGGCCACGAGCTTTAAATTTTTAACTACCCTGAATACACATACACAAATTCTGCCAACCTTATCTAAATGTGATTATTGTTTACAATCTTTCCGGTCAAACTCTTCAATTCCAATGTACGATTCAAGATCTATTTTTAAAAACAGAACTTCAGTAGTGCGAATTATAAACATGGTACCAAGCGATTAAAATGAAAGACAAAAAAATGAAGAAATAGTGCTTCAAATTTAAATAAAGATGTAGATAGGAAAAGGGTACACCCGTACAGGCAGAATCCAGAAACTATGTATAAATGTATAATTGGATGAGCTAAACTAGAAGCCAATTATCCTATAAAAGGGTACGATTTAAGAGCTAAAACAACACCCTAGGGAGATATTTGACATAATCACAAGTTCTTATTGTGATCCAGACATGAAAGCTCGGGGATACATATCGAGAGAATAAGTTTACCTTTTTCGGGGAGAATCAGCCTGCGAAAGAAAACAAATTGAAGCATCGGTCAAATTACAGCGACTGGCTAAGAAACATAAACAAGTCATGCGCATAAAAGAGATAGCAAGGAATAAAAATTTATGAGTATTTACCATATCCGAACCAGCTTGTCTGCGAGAAGAAAAGAACCCTAATCGCAGAGAGGAGATTGATATTACTCCGTATTATTATCACAGCATTTCAATGGGATTTGTTTAAAGTTGTACCACCGTCCGATGGGAGAAGAAGCGAGTTCAACCGCTCAAAAAAAGCTTTTTTTTTTTTGTGAAACCAAAAAAAAAAAAAAAAAAAAAAAAAAAGCTAAAATTAATATTTTAAAGTGACAATCAGCTTTTATGTCAAAAGTGCTTCTACATCATCTATTACACAAAAATCACTTATTTATCAAACACAACCACCTTTTAGTTTTTAAAATTACTTTTTTCTCAAAAACTATCAATTTTTACTACTGATCATTTTCTCCAAAATCACTTCCAAAAGTATTTTTTTAAAGCAGAAGCAGTTGCAAACACTCCCTAAGACAGTAAGACGAATGGAAACGAATAGAATACTATGATTTTGTATTTTTTTTGTTTAATTTTTTTGGATACGAATCTGAATTCGAATAAGAAACCAATATTAGTTTCGATTTGTATTTGTTTAACAATACGAAAAGTTAACGAATCGTATACAAATATCCAATCGATTCGATCATAAGTTAAATATCAGTCAAATATCAAATAAACTCCACTTTTGATCTTGTGAGTTTTAGGTCAATTCTACATTTAATCCACATCTTTCGCTTTGTCCACTTTTGATACGTAACTATTGGGTTTTCGCCCATACATTTTCCTTCCGACATTGTTTCTGATGCTTAAAATAGCCCGAAAAAGACCACGAAGGGTTAAAAACATTAGTCAAGTATCAAAAGTGGACAAGATGAAACAATGATCATATACAGTAATTTCAGTCAACACAGCCAGAAAAGATAACTTCAACCTTACAATAAGCCTGATAAGCCGAAAAATAGTATTACCAAACGGCCTCTATATAACAGTGCAAATAGATTTGAGCCATAAATTAAATGGGTTGATGTAGATTTTTTTTACCCCAGGGGGCGTCGGGGGAGGGGTTTGGGGGCCTAGGGTAAATTGGGATCAATCACTCTATTGACAATTGAACTCGGGATCTCCCATAAAGGAGAGTGAGTCGACGACTAGCTGAGCTGGACCGCTTCCTCATGGGTTGATCAGTTGATGTAGATAACAGATATCTCTTGGAATAATAAATCGGACATTTTCTAATTATTTTGGGTTTGAACTCAAAGAATATTTTCAAAGTGTTCTCTATTTTTTAGAATAATATTAATCCCTTCAAAAAGTAAAAACTCCATAGGAGATATTTATTTGTCTCCCATAAAATTTATTTTGTTTTTGAAAGCGATTTTTCTGAAAAAATTCTTTGTAATACTTAATAAAATGCACATATATAGATATATCTTCTCAAGCTATTCTATTGTGAATTCGTTTTCATGTATTTAAAGTATAAAATAAACTGTTAATTATGCTCAGTTAACAAGTTTGGGTGAACAATTAGATCAAATTTATTAGCCTGTTTGGTTATATTGAAATTGCTTGAATCGATTAAATTAGTTAAAATTGACAAAGTCTAATTGAAGCAACTGCATTGACTGAATTTACTGATTTATAAAACAAATATACTTAAAGTATATTTATTTACAAAATTAAGAAATTTTAAAAACTTTTCTTCAAATAAATTTTTTTATAAAAAATTACTGAAACAAAAGTAATTTGACCACATGATGTCAAAATTGCTAAAATTATTGTGGATATAATGTCATGGCCACATGATGTGAAAATTGATCATATTTGACCATTTCACATAAATTTGTACTTCATATTTAAGTATATTTAAAGAATGACATAACACCTTTCAAAAAAAAAAGAATGACATAACACACTTTCACATATTTGCACCCCCTGATTTGCGTGTTTACCAAGGCAATTCGTTTAAATAAGCAATTCAAATAAACATAAGGTTACGCATTTCGTATTAATAAATTTACCTTCAATTAACATATAAAAACCTTTAATTTGAAAATGCAGTTTTTTTGTCACAATCATTTGTGCATCGTGTAGGTGAATTACTTGCAAAATATTTTACTAGAAGAAAGGATTTTAACAAGGCGTAGTGTGAAACAAGAAAGTTTTAATTCCCAAACATTGCTTAACATCCTCATATGTTAGCTTGGCATTCCAATTCCAGACACAAAAAATACCCAAAATGACTTATTAAGTCATGACTATTAACAAAAGTAAGAAAATAATATGTCATTATTGTGTGTTGATTTGTTGTTCAAAAAACATGTATTAGTCATGGTTAACTTTACGTGATTGTGTTTAAGTAATCAATGATAGAGGAACGAACATTGAAACAAAAAATGTTGTGTATAAAGAAGTATTTCATAACATTTAACTTTAAATGTAGTGTGTTTTCAAATTATATTTATATTGTGTCACTGCATGCTACTTTACTATTTCATGGGGTTATAAAAATTTGTGTATTATGCCTTTAATGTTTGCAGGAATAGATCCCTACAAATTCACAATCTGGACCTTGATAACAAGCAAGTCAAAAGGGCAATTCAACGCCATTGCATAGGTCATTGGGACAACATCTACACGATTTTGAGAATAAGGAAGATCTTGAAATATGGTCATACTAGCATCAACATTACCCCTGAAAATACCAATACAGTTGCTAGATGCATAAGTCTGGGGAATGATGTGAAATCCGCTCACTTTTCTAAGTTTCTCAAATTTGATGTGATAGGCTTTCCATATGTTATCTGACCACTATCTGTGTAGGCTTCGATTTTGTATCCTCCTCCATCAGTCTATAATCGGGTCTTTAATAGAGTAGGCTTTGGTCTAACCTCCTACTCATGTATTTTTTTCCTTATTTTTAATAAATAGGTGAGGTGTTTCCTGGCCCTCACCCCAAAAACTCTCGAGTTTTTGGCATAAACTGTGTTTTAAAAAATAGAAATGGTTTTCGGATTTTTGGTTTTACAAATGAACCATAGACATTGCCATTGGTGATCGGCCGCAATGCTAAAGATCATTTTTCAAGTTTTGCCCGTAGAATATAAAACTCATTTTATTATTATACTTTATAAATTTTGAAATTTGTGTATAAAAAATAATTTTATTTTCTAAATTGGTCATGTTTCTAAATTGGTAATTTTCAATTAGTTTTTGAACCCCAAAACTATAGAGAAATATAATGTTGAGAAAAATAGCTTTCACATTTGTGATTATACACATTTACATTGACGAAATAAGTATGAAATCCACAATTGGTCAAAAAAATTAAACATAAGAAGTATATCTAAAATCGCATATTACACCATAGGATCGACTTATCATGCATGTTGGTATATTGGGGCCCGGCCCAAGTGCAGGCCCCAATATAAAATAATGAATGATAATGCACTAAATGAGTAGTTCTCAGTTGTGTCACTTAATAAATGAAATGAACTACATAGTATAAAATAATGGTGTGTTTACATAAATATTACTATTAATACATTAAAACAAAATTAGTAGTAAAAGAATGTCTGAATTTTTTCAATGGAAAGCAACAACATTACTCCACTATCGCCAAAGTTCTCACCTATGGTGGGTAAGAGGGGTCGGAAGTACACAGTTCTACCCCTATACTAAAGCACAAAAAAAATCTCGACGAGTCATGGTGATTATTGTTTCATAACAAAGAAACACATACAATCTAGTGGTGGACTCGGCTCGGGCCACCCGGCCCGTGAACCGGCCCGGCCCGCTACTGTGTGGGACCGGCCTGGTTCACCGGTCCGGGTACCGGGCTTTGACCCGGCCCGAGGGGGAGACGGTTCCGGGCACGGTGCTGCCAAAATGAGACCCGGCCGGGCCCGGGCCCGGTTCGGGCCAAAATCAATTTTTTTTGTTTTTCATTTTTTTTTATTCCAACGAGTTGGGCTGGGTGTTTTTTGGGGGGTGGGGGTGGGGGGGTCAGGGGTTAATTAGTAAAAGCAAAAAAAAATATATAAAGAGGCCCGGACCGGACCCGGTAGCTACCCGGGACGGACCCAACCCGTCCTAGGCCCAGACCCGACCCGGCCCGAATCCACCCCTAATACGGAGTACAATCTACACGAGATTGGGGCCTATATTTCTAGTTTCAAACCAGTCCCCACTGACCCGGTTCGATCGCATTCCCAATTTTTTTATTGTATACTCCTGTATTCTTTTGTTTGTTACATTTTTCTTTTTGGAATCTATTTTGATTTTTGTTATAATTTTCCTATTTGTTAAGTTTCCCTTGTGTTAAAATAATCTGAACAAAAGCGACTCAAACGAGTGACCTAGTCAAGAGTGAACCCAAACCCGACAAGTCAACACAGCGAAAACCCGATCAGCATTTATAATTTATTATTTATTATATTAATAAAAATATAACAATATACGTAGTATAAAATTAAAATTAAGTGTAACTCTATTTCACAAAAATCAAGTAGTTATAATACTAAGCATTGAAAATTTTCCCTTTAAAAAGATTAATCAATTTTACTTTTTACTTTACCCCATGACCCCTATTGTAAGAAACATTTAAAGGGAGTATTTGTAAACCCTCCATCCCCCACCTCTTCTTCACCCTTTTCCAACTTTTAAATGTACATCAGTGCTTTTAATGTGTTTTCCAATGGTTCAAATGGCAAAAAAAAAATGGAATCAACCCAAATAATGAGACCGATCCCGAGACAATTCCGACCCCGTTTATTTTATTTTTTGCATTAGAATAATTGGAAAGAACTTTTAAAGAATGGGTGACCTAGATTCGGAAAATGTCCCAGTCCCAGGGCTCACTAAAAAATTTTATGATCAGCCAGTCCAGGACCGAGCCTAGGTGTAGGCGTGTAGCTACATGGGGGCATTTGAAACTGATTCTGATTCTGCCTCTTTTTTGAAGTAGAAGCAGAATCAGTTTCCAGAAGCTGGTCTCCCCAGCTTCTAAAAAAAACTGATTCTAGGAGCAAATTAGAGCTCCAGAATCACTTCTACACTTTCACACAAACACTCCAACTTATGATTCTGCTCCCTGGAGGAGCAGAAGCAGTTTTAAGAATCAAATCCAAACACCCCCTATATTGGGAATGAGAAACATTTCTAAAATGGAGTATAGCTGGAAATTATGTTATACACAGTATTAACAAATCA